CATCCCCAGCCAGTCTATTTTTTATTCTGAGACAGGGCCTCACTAAGTTGCTGAAGCTGGCCTTGAACTTTCCGTCCTCCTGCCTCAGATCCGGAGTTGCTGGGACTGAGGTGAGGCCACTGGGCCTGGCTCCCCCGGTGATTTTTTTTTTTAAATATATTTATTTTTTTAGCTTTCAGTGGGCACAACATATTCTATGAGGGGAGCCACTCTGAATGACCCTCACCTTCCAGTCCTGAAGCAAGAGACGCTGGCCAAGCACTCCATGTTGTGGGGACTCTTGAAGCCAGATTTGCAGATAGGTAGCTAGTGTGGTCAGGTAAGTCCGGTCTAATAGCGATGGAGTAAGATAAAGACAACGGAGGCCATCATAGAGGACGGAGCCGGGGAAGCAGAGCAGCACTGGGGAAACTGAAGTGTTAGTGTCCCCAAGGCCGGGAACCCACCCCAAGGAACTGTGGAAGCTGCTCCCAGCAAGCAGGGAGGTGCTGGTCCAGAGGCCGCCCCAGGCCCTTCCTGCCCAGATGACTCCTCCAGCCCACCTGTCCCCCACCTTTGGACAGGACAGAGGGCCACAAGGGACAGGAGTGTGGGAAAGCTGAAAGAAGACCTTAGCTATAAAAAAGGGGAGACCCCCCTCCCCCGGATTCCGCCTTTCGGCTCCTTGTTCCTCCGGGAGAAGTCCTCTCTGCTGTCCTTTAATAAAACCTTGCACTGTCCACTCTCCCCTGGCCTGGGCCTGCTTCTCTGGTGTTATACTTCAGCATTCGGGGAAGCAGCGGTGACACTGGGACGCTGACCCAGCCCGCGAAGCCGAAGGTGTGTCTTCAGGTGTCGACAAGTCACCCGTGGGGTTGAGCTACATGCTGCTGACCCTGTGCCCTGTCTGGGACAGAATGTTCCATGGAATCGCCCTTGGTGTGTCCCCTGGTCTCGCTCTGCCTTTGGGTGTGGCCTTCCTAGCTGTCAGTCAACCTGACGTCACAAGGGTGCCCTCAGCCCCCTGAAACCTGACCCCTTGCCTCCTTTGAAGGCTTCTCCTGGGTTAAAAGGGCAGAGCGTGCTCAGGGGCTCCCTGTCACAGGTGGTCTGTCTGTCTGTCTGCAGCCCGGTTCCCCTGGAGCGACCCTGCGCGTTCAGTCCTGAGGGACGGCTGCGGTGCTGAGGGTGCCTCAAGCGTGCTGGGCAGGTAGATGCGCGTCCCACACCCGAGGCGAGGCCAGCCCTCCCCACGGAGCCGCCACCCCAGCCCCGCCCGCGGCGATTTGGAGCAGCCTTTCTCAGCACCTGGGACTGTGCAGGGCCTGAGCTTGGGCTCAGACACACCGGGAAAACACAGCTGTCCAGGCACAGAGCGGTCAGTGAAAAACCGGCCTCTACCTCCGAGCAGAGCCCGTCCAAGGAAGGGGGAGGGACCCCAGTCCTGGGAAAGACCCCGAGCACTCCGAGGCACACACCCACCTGCCAAGTGGTTTATCTGCCAATAACAGGAGAGGTCTGCTGGCCAGGTGCCCCTGACTCAGCCAGGCTAGTGAGGACCCCTAACAGCCCCCTAGCAGCCACCAATCAGCCTGAGACAGGGAAATACCTGGGGTGCCAGATGACCCCCCAGTAGTTTATGGTGGTTGATAACGTGTTGGGAGACCATGTCGTTCAGCACTACTCCCCTCGTGGCCTATACCAATCAGTTCAAATGAACCCCCTCTTGTAGTAACCAACCACCCTCCCCACCTTGTTCCCGCCAGGCACTGTGCTAATCATGTTTTAGAGTTGCTTTGTGATTTTCCCGCGGTGTGTGGTGATTTGCTAAGAGAGGCTATGATGTATGGGGGGGTCCCTGCCTTCCCCAAAGAGTGCATAAAACTGCTGCAAACCCTGGGCTCGGGGCCTCTCAGCGTCACCAGTTGCTGTGTGTGTGCGGAGGACAGAGCTAACTCCCAATAAACACCTCTTTGCTGCTTACATCGATCTTGGTCTCTGTTGGTCTTTTGGGGGTCCTGAATTCAAGCATAACACAGAGAACTCTGTGTTTCTTGGTCACACACAAAGAAAGTGGGGGGATAACAGCTACTATTCAACACAATCGACAGACTCCATGCAAGTCCCACTAAAATTCCAACATCCGTGTTTTTTTTTTAATATTTATTTTTCAGTTTTTTTAGGTGGACGCAAAATCTTTATTTCATTTTTATGTGGTGCTGAGAATCGAACCCAGCGCCTCACGCATGGAAGGCGAGTGCGCTACCACTTGAGCCACATCCCCAGCCCAACATCCGTTTTTGTTCCTTTTATTTTTCACCAGTGGAAGAGCTGCTCCTAAAATTCCTGTGCAGTTGCAGAGGTCTCTGAACAGTCAAGACTCACTTTTTTTTTCTTTTCTTTCTTTTTTTTTTTTTGGTACCAGGGGTTGAATTCAGGAGCACTTAACCACGGAGCCACATCCTCAGTCCTTGTATTTTATTTAGAGACAGGGTCTTGCCAAGTTGCTTACCGCCTTGCTAAAGTGCTGAGGCTGGCTTTGAACTCTTGATCCTCCTGCCTCAGCCTCCGTCGCCACTGTGATTACTGGCGTGCGTCATCGCACCGGGCTACAGTTTTTTGATCTCCTGGTGTTTTAGGCAGTCTTTGCTGCCATGACCAAACCCTGACAAGAACAGTTTTAAGGAGGAAAAGCTTATTTGGGGGCTCATGGTTTCAGAGGTGTCAGTCCGTGGAAGGTTGGCTCCACTTCTCAGGGCCGAGGTGAGGCCAAACCTCTTGGAAGAAGAGCATGGGGGAGGAAAGCAGCTCAGGACCTGGTAATCAGGAAGCAGAGACCAGGGTCAAAATATAAACCCCAAAGGCACGTCCCAGTGACCGCCTCCTCTGGTCACACCGTGTCTGCCTGCAGTCTCCACCAGGCAATCTCCACGGGGCATGACTGCTCTGATTAGGTTAAGGTTCTCATAGCCCCATCATGTCACCTGTAACCCTTCTCACGTCGTCTCACAGATGAGCTTTTGGGGGACACCCACGTCTAAGCCATAACACAAGGTCACAGCCACACTGTCCTGCAGGACCCAGACCCAGGGCCCGCAGAGCCAGCACGTCCGCGCCTTCACTCTGAGAGCCACGGTCACTCCATGGGCGGAGATCTGGTCAACAAACAGTGCTGGGGCCAACCACAGGTCCACGTGGGAGGAACAGGGTGCACCCCACCTCACCCCCGTGCAAAATTCTACCCCACAGGGATCAAACACCTGAACTTGAGAGCTAACACAATGACCTCTTAATGGAAAATACAGGTGCAAACCTTCATGACCTCAAATTAGGCAATGGATCTTCCAAAAGAATGAGAGGTCAAAGAAAAGAAAAAACAAAAACAAAACAAAAAAAAAATCAGCTCAATTGACCTGCATCAGCATAAAAACTTTGATGAACCGGGGATGTAGCTCAGTGGTAGAGTGCTTGCCTCGCACGCGGGAGGCACTGGGTTCAATCCTCGTAAAAATAAAATAAAGGTACTGGGTCCATCTACAACTAAAAAAATATTAAAAACAACAACAACACCAACACTTTGATGCATTAGCCAGGTGCAGTGGTGCACGCCCATAATCCCAGTAGCCTGGGAGGATGAGGCAGGAGGATCCCGAGTTTGAAGCCAGCCTCAGCAACGTGGTGAGGCCCTGAGTCACTGAGTGAAACCCTATCTCAAAATAAGAAATAAAGGGCTGGGGATGTGGCTCGAGCGGTAGCGCGCTCACCTGGCATGCGTGTGGCCCGGGCTCGATCCCATCCTCAGTACCACACACAGACAAAGAAGTTGTGTCTGACTCTCAGCAAAAAAAAGAGCAACACCCCCAGGGCAGAGCAGCTCTGGGGTTCAGAATGCTTCTTCCTGGCTAAGCAGCCCAGCCATAACTCAGTGTGGACACACTGTCCAGGGCTGTGAACCTGGTGATGCTGAAGTCCATGATGCTTTTGTTCTAGGTGATCTGGTACGCGGAGGAGATGACGGTGGCTGGTCTTGTTCACAGACCCCACGCTCCACCTAGAAAGGGTCTCTTCTGCTCTGCCTCAGGGCCTACCCTGGGCAGAACTATCGCTGCTGGGAAAGGGGGTGTGATAACAAGCAGCGTGGGCCCAGCACATTTCCACTGTGGAAAGGAAGCCGGAGCCCTGCCTGCCTGACAAAGGAACCCACCAGCATGGAGATTTGGGGTGTGTCCAGCAGGTGGCGACGTGGTCAGAAAGATGTAGCAACACCCCAAAGACCACCTCCCTTGCCCCCAATACCCGAGCAGAGGCATATGATCCAAGGTAATTTCCTTTCCTTTTCTTTTTCTTTTCTTTTTTTTGTAGTACTGGAATTGTACTCCGCGGTGCTCAACACCTGGGTTACATCTCCAGCCCTTTTTATTTTTTGATCTTGTTAAGTTGATCAGGCTGGACTTGAACTCGCTGTCCTCCTGCTTTGGCCTCCCGAGTTGCTGGGGTGATAGGTGTGGCCACTGCACCCAGCTTCAAGACAATTTTTGCAGCAAAAATGAAAACAAACCTCATCAATCAATAGAAAACTGCCCCGAAAAACAGCAGGTACCCAGTCCCCTCCACAGGCCTCCAGGGCACATGAGGGACCGGCCTGCATAATGGACGGGCTGTCCTGGGCTCCCAGGGGAGCAGCGTTCGACCGGCAGCAGTCACATGCAAGTCCTGCTCAGTGACGAGGAGAGCCTGAGAGGAGCTGAGAAGCCAGACACCTTGGAGGGGTCCAGTCAGGTTCCTCCTGAGCTGGCAGGAGCCCAGGGAGCAAGCCCAGACTGCAGAGAGGGCACCCAGACTCCAGAGGCGGGAGGCCGGAGGACGGGGTGAGGCATGGGGGGACCAGGCAGGGAGGAGGGAGGCAGAGGCCTGGTCTCTGGGCTCATCCCCAGGAGGAATTCCTGTCCTCTCCTCTGTCTTCCTGTCAAGCCCCGACCGTGAGGCATGCCCGACTGTGCCGCATGCCCGACTGTGTCGGCATGCCCGACTGTGTCGACGTGCCCGTCTGTGTCGACAAGCCCGACTGTGTCAGCAAGCCCGTCTGTGTCAGCATGCCCGACTGTGTCGACGTGCCCGACTGTGCGGCGTGCCGGACTGTGTCAGCAAGCCCAACTGTGTCAGCAAGCCCGACTGTGTCGACGTGCCCGACTGTGTCGACGTGCCCGACTGTGCGGCGTGCCGGACTGTGTCAGCATGCCCGACTGTGTCAGCAAGCCCGACTGTGTCAGCAAGCCCG